GATTGGATTTGCACTAAGTGATAAATGTGTGACTTCAGATGTTGAGTGATTATTCTCCAGGTTTGAAACAGGTTAAAAGAAAACCCCATTAATTTCCCCTCTTCCATTGAAGTGTATCAAAAACACCTACAAATATAAGCTTGAAATAATGTTTACTTTTGCAATTAATTCACAAAACATACTCAAAGGAAAATTGTTCTCTCTTTATCTTTTTGATTACATAGCAAGTATTTGACCCAAATGTTATATTAGAAGATTATTAACGGTAAGTACAAAGATAAACTGCTGTAGACTTATTAAGACGTGCAAGTCATTGGCTTACAAAGGGATGTTATAAGTCATTTTATATGTTACTGGCATTGCTGGTTAATGTATTCAATACAGATTTACAAAAATTATTTTTAATAAACTTTCACTTTAATCAATATACTTGGATTCAATTAAAAATGTTAACATCTTGACTACTGTTTTTTGATAAATTGTTATAATGGGGCCTGATGGCCGAGACACTGGCACTTGGTGCCGCAGTCTTCGAATTCGAGTCCCGACGCTGGATATTTGCAGTAGTTCAGAATCCACTTTAAATATGTCAGTAAAAAAAAACGTATGTCTCGGTCTAATATGACTATTGAGCTTAGGGCTGACAACCCTACTCCGTAAGAAGAAATCTTCTGCGAAACTGCCGAGAAACATCTTAAAGAAACAGCACAGCATTAAAAAAAAAAAAAAAAAATAAAAATATCAATTAGCATATCATTTCAAGAATTAAAAATTTTCAGTCAGTTATCTAACAGGAAGAAAAATAAAAAAATATAATGTTATCCATTTCGGCAGTAAATTTTTTGTCAGGAAATGTCTTGTCAATGTCTTATCAGCCCTATGGTGGGCCAAGGCCGTCTGCCAGATTCCGGAAGATGAGATGTTTTTCTTTTCCAAGCACAACGCTCTACAGTCATATTAGACCGGGACCTAGTATTTATAGTGGATTCTGAACCACTACAAGCATCCATGACACTGCCTGGGCTCGAGCTCGAAACTCGTGGTACCGAGAGCCAGAGTACTAGTCACTCCGCCATCAGGCCCTTGCAACGTTAAGTTGTTTAATAAACACGACAGCATTGCATTAATTTTATTTAGTTGGCAGATTTTAACTCTTTTGCATTACTTCTATTATAAATTCACATAATAATAGGAATAAATATTTAAAATTATTGATTCCTTCATATTCATATATCATTCTTACAAAGAAGAAATCAAGAAAAACATAGATAGCTAACATCAACTGAACTACTAGGCCATCAGGCCTAAAAATATGTATCATAACCTTCGTAAACTTTTGAAAATAAGCTGAATTTTATGAAATTTGCACTTGCTTCTTTAACTGATGTTAGTAGAGGATTGTTGAATGAAGAAATTTAGTTGGAAAATCTAACATTGTTCTTTTTAATGGAAAAAAAAAAACCTCGATTCTGTTTCACTTTTGTGAAGTTGTATTAAAGAATGTAAATCTGAATCGATGCCCACATCCAACGTGGCTCGCCTTCAAACGAGCAACTCTTGCGATATTTGGGTGGTGACCCAGCGCTGGGCACGAGCAACAAGTTTTGCAGCGGGAATGATCCATGACTTTTGCTCCCGCGAAATTTGTCAGCGGAGAGAAACTGAACAATTATTTAATAACAATGACCGAGAACTGTCTGGAAGAAAGTGATAAACTACGATCGCGCCAACAGTTACAGTTACATTCCCCCCAAAGCGACGATTTCTACCCTTTTTTTCTTTTTCTTTGTTATTAATTCGCCTTCTCGGAACACGTTTCCTGATTCAATTTCCCATGCAAAAAGAAAAAGCAATCTGTTTATTGTTCGCCAAGTTCTTCCTCGTTTGGGGAAATCCTGCATGACTTCATCGCCTTGTAATTTATTTCCACTTCCATTACTTGTTCGACAATGTTATTGTGTTTTTAAAATGGAGTTTGAATATCATTAGCGTCGGAGCTCTTGTGTTTCGAAGATTTGATACACTATTCGTTGTGCTGGATGCAATTAGAAATCCATTATCTCTTGCGATTATTGATTCGGACTGTGTTTGAACTCATAAAGCTTGAATTTCCATGCATTGTTTAATACAATTTCAAATTTTATATAACATATATGGAATAAAAGAAAGGCTTTCGTACACGCTGATTAGAATATATATTTAAAAAAAAAGTTACTTCAGTTATGTATGTTTTGAAAGTTGACTATCCAAAAAGATAAGCAATAATTTATTTAAAATCACTTATCAGTTTTTTTTTAAATATGCAGTTTTTTCCTTTTTGTATCATTAATTTTCTTTGAAGATAACCCTTAATGATGTTTATTACTGAATTATACTTTTTTTCGACTTTTGGCATTAGATTTGTTTGGTTTGCTTTGTCGCTCTACGCACACTTTGGGCTAATTAGTCCGGGACCTATATCTTAACATGGATTACTACTACTGCACCATACTACATCACTGTTCCCAAAGCTGAGTTGGCCCTATATAGCTTGGGAATGATGTGGGTGAAAAGACTGACCGTGACGCTCTACTGTCATATGAGACCGGACCTGCGGCTTAACGTGGATTCCGAACCACTCGCAAACATCCACACTACCAGGAGTCTAACCTTGGCGAATCCATTGCTACCAACAACCAGAGGTCTAGTCTATTGGCCATCAAGTAGCTCTGGCTTGATGGCTAATTGGCTAGAAGGACTCACGCGACCGTAGAGCGTCACATTGTCCAACCAGACTTCTTGCCTACATCATTCCCAAACTGTCAAGGGGCAACTCAGCAATAGACACAGTGATGTGGTGTGGTGTGGTGTAGTAGTAATAATGAGTCTCCTTACTTCTGAAAAAGCAATAGAAACAAACATGTTGCATGTGAATTCGAACCTGGAACCAAACTTCTGCTCCTCGGCAACGAGTCAAGACATCATATCTGCCTAAAATTTTCCGAAGATATAAGTATCTGTAGGAATACCTGCAAATGATAGAAAGCAAAATTGTTATGTAATGTGATTGCGTAGCTTTTAACATGTATAGGATTCTAATTTGTTTTCCATCCACAGCTTTAGACAAGCTGGGATTCCGCCATCTCTTCAACTGCCACCAAGTGGAATTGGTCCAACAGACCGTGGCCTTTGATGTGGCATCTCTCATGCTGTATGGGACGGAAGCCATGCCCATTCGCTTGAAGATTCTGCTGGACAGACTCTTCAGCGTCCTACAGCATGAAGAAGTGGTGCATGTCCTACACGGGTTCGGTTGGACATATGAAGACTATTCCAGGGGATACATTTTACAAGTAAGTACTCTATTATTTTAAGTACCAGCCAGTAGCACCTTTAAATAATGTTTCTAGGGACTAAATATCTGTATTGTTTGATTCTGTAATGTTTGTTGTCAACGAGAGATACTGTATAACTTGCATTTTGGAAAGTTATATAGTTTTCAATGGATACATCAAGATTTTTCTTCGTTTTAGTCTGACTTTCAAGGGCCTGAATGGCCGAGTGGCTAGCGCTCAGTACCATAGGTTTCGGGTTTGAGTCCCGGCGGTGCCATGGATGTTTGTAGGGGTTCGGAATCCACTTTAAACCGTAGGTCCCGGTGCTAATAGGATCGTAGAGCGTTACGGGGGCATTGTTACTCCGCGTCCGTGGCTTATCTTCAAGCTACACGCGCCCCTTGGGTGATGCAAAATGAGTACGTCTGTGCAGCGCTTGCCTTAAGGCATCCAAGACCAAGCTGTCTAAGTGTTTGCCAGCTGCATTAGAACAACAACAACAACAAAAAAAAAAGTCTGACTTTCAAATGAAACATCTGCGCTTAAATTACATTTATCGTATAGTTTGTAAATATCTTCGTTTATCCATTTGATTTCATTTCATTTAAGAATCCAATCTCATCCATTAATTCACCAACGTTAATGGCCAGAAAAATTAAAGAACTGAATTCACATTTGGTTCTGAAGTAAGGACAAGGCAGCTTTATGCACTGGAATACAGATGATTATTGTTTATTTATTATCACATTTTATCAGTTATTTTAGGATAGTAATCGTATTTTGTACATCTTTAAGAAATAATAACTTAAATGTATCCATTTATTTATTGAAATTATTTTATTTTACTTACCACTTCTCCTGTACTTGTATTTGTCACTGAACTCCTCCTAAACGGGTTTGTGTTTGACAAAACATGGAGAAATTTTTTATGTTATCCCCTTTGTTGTAAATCGCCACCAGAGGGTGCTGCAGTATATCAACTTCTACATCGTTCAATCAATCGCTATGAAAACTGGTAATAATATGGATTCAAGTATTTAAAATATATTCGCGCTATCCACTTTATAGATACTTGACACCAGATGGTGTTGCAGCATTTCATCTTATATACCGTTCAAACGATATCCATGAAAATTAATATGCACATATATTGGAACATGGGGCCTGAATGGCCGAGTGGCTATCGCTCTGGCGCTCGGTACGACAGGTTTCGGGTTCGAGTCCCGGCGGTGGATCGGATGTTTGTAGTGGTTCGGAATCCACTTTAAACTGTAGGTCCCGGTCTAATAGGATCGTAGAGCGTTACGGGGGCATCGTTACTCCGCGTCCGTGGCTTATCTTCAAGTTACACGCGCCCCCTGGGTAATGCAAAGTGAGTAACGTCTGTGCAGCGCTTGCCTTAAGGCATCCAAGGCCAAGCTGCCTAAGTGTTTGCCAGCTGCATTAGAAATATATATATATATATATATATATTGGAACATGGAGAATATATTCGAGATATAGAATTTTATACAATGCATTTTTTTTGGCAAGACAACGTATATAGGGTTCTGCTAGTTTATATACATATATAATCGCAAATGCTTCGAAAATACTCGTAATTTGATTATTTTTTTAAATATATGGCACCACAATGGAATTAGTTATATTATTCAAGTTTAATTTGATAAGAACATTGCAACGGCCAACGGCCGTACCATGCTGAATATACCGGTTCTCGTTAGATCACCGAAGTCAAGCATCATTGGGCGCGGTCAGTACTTGGGTGGGTGACCACCTGGGAACACCGCGTGCCGTTGGCAAATTTGGGACCTGAATGGCCGAGTGTCTAGCGCTCTGGCGCTCGGTGCCACAGGTTTCGGGTTCGAATCTCGGTGGTGCCATCATGGCTGTCTGTAGTGGTTCGGAATCCACTTTAAGCCGTAGGTCCCGGTCTCCTATGACTGTAAGAGCGTCACGGAGCAAAAGTCAGGCTTCTACCTACGGGTGCCCCATCACAACAGAAGCTGCTTCCTTCCCCTTCAATCGTGAGCACGTGTGGGCTCGTGGGGCTTGGCCAGCCAAGCGGGATAAGAAACAACAACAACACATTGCAACATTGTTATTTTTTCGGATTATGACCGATCAGTTATTTCTTGGAAATCCGATTTAGTGTTTATCTAGCCTTGTAAGCATGAGAACTTCGGCGGTTTGTTTGCTGAAAATTCTCAGGAACTTTAAATAAACTTCCCAAAGTTTCTGACAATAGATCCGCTTTAATCTTCATAGGTGGCTCCGATAAACGGAGAATGAAAAGTTCGAATTTGTAAACGTGATATAAAGATAATTTTATTTACTTATCTGGGTGATCAGAATATTCATTCCCAAGCATATTTACATTTTGGAGATATCAAATAATCGAACCAAAGATAACGAAGACCGTCTTAAAGTGTTTAAGGATAACAATAGACTTAGTTTCGGCAGAATCTGAATTATTCTATACATTTTTGAATGAGTAACGAATGACTTTTACACACACACAACTTCAATGCATGGACCTGATGACCAAGTGGCTAGCACTCTGGCACTCCGTACCACATGAATCCTGGTTCGAATCCCGGCAGTGCCATGGCTGTTTATAGTGGTTCGGAATCCACTTTAAACCGTAGGTTCCGGCCGAAATAGGATCGTAGAGTGTTGTGGGGGTAGTGTTACTCGCGTCTGTAGCATATCTTCAAGCTACACATGCCCCCTGTGTAGTGCTAAATGAGCAACAGCTGTGCAACCCTTGCTTATGGCATAAAAGATTAACTGTTTGTATTGCCAGATGCATTACAACAACAACATAAACGTCAATGACGTGTATATATATACACACACTCAAGAGCCAAAACATTATGACCACCCCTACATTTTGCAATGGACTCGTCTGAATGACGTGGAAGGCACGTGATCAGGTGGAATTTAAGTGGTGGTATTAATCCATGCCAAGGCGGGTTGAAGCTGTGTTGCGCGCCAAAGGTGGGCCAACTCGTTATTGACAGGTGGTCATAATGTTTTGGCTCTTGAGTGTATATATATACGCTCACACAAACAAGATGCTGTAATTGTAATATTTTGCTGGCTGACTAAGCAGTTAAAAATTTGAATAGAAAGCGACCTTGCACGTGTTCTCCCGGCGAAGGAAATCAATCCACTGAGTTTACCTTGTCATAGAGCGAGTGACAAACTCAAAGTCCCCTTGTGACCTTTGACATTGGGTTTGGACTGAAATAACAAGTTTTCACAAAGGTTTTATTGCATCTGACGTGTCCGTGGCATATATTCAACTACTGTTAGAATGTTCAGATTATTCAAATGCGTGAAGGCATATCAATCTTTATAGCGAACAATGCATTTGTGACAAATGAGATCTTAGGACATCTGAACACAATAATAGGGCAGAGGGTAGTGCAATTTCGGAAAGTCACTTTCAACGGGCAGAAAGGGTTAAACCACCATTTATCATCAGGACTATCACTTTTGTCGCAATACATGTAAAGGTGTATGGACGGACATTGTGTGAACTTTGTAGAAAAGAAAATCTTCCAGATTCGAGGAAATTTGTCGGAGTTTTGTGTGAGTACCAGTTTGTGCATATGCACAGTCGGAAAATATTATTTTAAATTTTAAAAATGGTGGATGACATATTTTGAGGTGATTTTGTGGTGTTTTTTTACCTGATGTATCTCATGTATCATGTTTTTTATTTTACTTCTCTCCTCGTATCTGTCCTGCTTTAAGAATATTCAAAATGTTAAAATGTAGTCTTAAAAAAGCCTAAATTATATTTATAAATAGATGTAAGTGTATTGTTGAACCAGATGAAATTAAAAATAGAACTAACTTAATTTCGTTAAAAAGTTTGTAAGCAATTATGAAACAAGTAATATTACAAAAAATTCTTTTATAAATAAAGTTGAAATTTTCCTCTTACATCTGGCGCCATCTATTATTAGATACATGCAACTTAAATCTAAAAAAAAATTAAAATTAATTAATTAAATTTAATTACTTAACTAATATTTGAAAAACTGCATTAACATCCAGTGTCATCCACTACAAGTTCAAAAAAATGTATTTGAACTAGAGTGGATGAATAAAAAGTCTTTTATTAACGATTGAAAATTCGAACAAGATATATATAGGGAGAGTGTGAACTAATAGTAGGAATTGAAAAATAAATAAAATTTGTAAATATTAGGAACTTCTTTAGAAGGCCAAGGTTTAGCAAATTGTTTTAATAAATTAAAATTTACAAGAACTTTATTTTATGACAAAAATTGCTGCCTGAAATATGTGACATCAAGAAAAAGGAAGGAATTAGGATTCTATATTGGATAAATAAAAAAAAATGTGCGGACATTCTCCATTCTAAGTTTGATAAAAATAATTAAGCAGAATAGATAGCATAATCCAACATTTTTCATATCAAAGAAAAAAAGCAGATAAAGAGACTACAGCATGCCAATATAGCTTATCTTTTAAGATATCTTTGTTTACACATTGCTTCTAAATGACTAAGCGTGAGGACATTCCGCTGACACTTTTTTTCTTCCAAAGAGGGGTTGTTGATGTGTAGGAAAATGAGAGATGACGAACAAGAATATCAAGCATCATCCTTCATCTAGCGTGACACTTTAATGACATTATTCAAAATTGCCCTTTTCACATAAACGTTCTTTTGTCTTTTTGGTTCATAAGGACAGCCTCTAAGACATAGGTTTAAGTATAGAGCTGCTATCTATTTAAATATAATGTTTCCTTTGTACTCGCTAAAGGGACAACTTTATATTTACAGATACGCAAACCTAATTTGACCGCAACTTTCAAAAGATCTTCTAACAATCCTTATGTTAAGCCATAGCACCTTGAAATTAGTACTAAAAACGTTAAAAATGTCTTTTGATCAATAAATGATATACTATAGGTATTCATTAAGAAAAAAAATTATCAATCCAACTTTTGCCTCTAATTACCCGAGATTTTTTTCCGGAACACTCTATCTGATAATTTACGTGAATGCAACTCATCTAAAACCTGGTTTTACTTTATTCTAAACATCCCTGATCAGCCCAGGTTTAAAGGAGTTGCCCTTTTCAGACTCCTGACGGGCCATGATTGAAATATTCTCATTCGGAAAAGGTGATTGGTGACAAAGTCCAAAATGCATACTGTGCAATCTGGGAGAGGACATGGATTCATCCCGTCTGCCCTACACTTGTTTCCTCTACTGTGTATGGTCGTTACTGGGAGGCTAGGGCCCTTATGGGCTAAACATGTCACTATGCGATTTCCTTCGTTTCTACTTGTTTTTATATTCCTTGTGTTCTTTTTATTTTATTGCTTATTGTAGCCTGCCATTGTAATTATTAACAAAAGTATAACAATGCATCAGTTTAATCTAACACGCATCATCTTACATTTTAGCTAAGGCTTAATATCATTGCATCAAAAGGGGTATTTAAACTAACATTAACAATATGCAAATCCAAACATTTGATTGGTTGCTCTTAAAGTATTGTATGAGGATCAAACCATGGAGGCCATGGCCACTATGTGATTTTCTTCATTTCTCGTTGTTGTTTCCATATTCCTTGTATTTTTTATTTTATTGCTTATTGCAGCCTGCCATTGGATGGGGGGGGAACCTTTTGCCTCATTATAATACAGGCATTTACTCAATAAAATTCCTTTTTTAACACAATTTATATTCCAGTATAGCAAATTTCTAGGTATGTGAAAAGTTAGGATCCTTTCTTTTTTCCCAATGCAACCATACAGTGAACCCTATTTAACCAATTATTCAATGGAGAATGACCAAACGGATTACTGAAATCTACACCTGTCACGTGATGAGCATATTTGTTGACTTGAAACTGGCAATCCCTATGGCACACTGTATTATCTGGACCCTATATTGGAATCAATCAACTGCCAATCAAAATCACGTGACAAGATTGATGTATGATTGACAGCATGCGCGCGCACTTACGTGCAGCATCAAATATTTTATTATCTTTTATTTCTGTTCATCATATCTTTTATTTCTGTTGCAACTAGATAAAATACTAGTGAACTGAGTTGTGACTGGCGAGGTTGTTCCCTCACAAATTAAGTAGAAAGATTGAACACGAGTATTGTAGACCTAAGGACATTCTTTGTACAGCTGAGGACTAAAAATCTCAACGGGAATTTGTGTGAATGGTTAAAGAATAATTAGTTCAAATTCGTTCAAATAATAATAGTTCAAGTTGGTTATCTGCATTGTGATGTGTAAAAAGAAAAGTATCCTTACAGTGGTGAGAAAGTTAATAGAGAGAAGAGAAATAAAGGTAAGAAAGTTATCAAATGCAAAATGATTATTAATAGTGTTTATTTTAAATTAACAAGGAGATAAAATATATTAATTATATGATAATTATAATAATTTTTGCCAAAGGACCACTAAAATAATACATGTGTATTTTTTGTCAATTATATTTTAATACTAACTATTGGGAAAAATATCAGATTTTTGGAATATTTATTTATTTCACACTTGAAAGAAAAATTTTTTTTTGAAATTTACGATTTACTGTTTATTCGTGTTTTCTTAAAATGTAATTCTCCAAGCGTTTGCCTGATGGCTAATTAGTTAAAGTTCTGACCTTTGGTACCACATGCTTCAGATTCGAATCCTGGCGGTGGCATGAATGGTTGTGAGTGGTTCAGAATCCACGTTAACCTGTAAATTTCGGTGTAATGAGCCCACAGTGAGCACAAAATGACCGTAGAGCG